GCCCATTTTTTCAACAAATCTGAACGTTGGTGTATCTTAAGAGTCCTCGTTAGCGGGGCAGCCCGCCAATACTGTGCCATCGCATTTCCCGACCCTTCCTTGGTCAGGGCGAAATCCAAGCTTCCCGCTGATTGTTCGCACCGCTCTTCAGGTAAATAGGTTTTTTGCTTAACGCTTTCGCGCTAGCGCCCACTTTTGCACAGCAGCAAGCCATAATATGAAAACACTTGCCGCAGATATAGCAGACAACATCTGCGTTACCCAGCTCATTTGGAAGCGCTGCAAGCCTTTCGCGTGTCAGTTCTTGCCAAGGCGTTGCTGAAGTAGTGTTGTATGATTTCTTTTCATCTTGAGCATTTCAATTGTTCCTTCCATTATCGACGGAACTTTTTACAAAGGGCCTGCGGCGCTGGGACATACTGCAGTCCATTTAGAATTATGGGCACCTCAATTTATTTCGGTGTCGGGACCCACACTAATAGACGCTGAAAGAGAGCGCATCTCCTCCAGATAGTCGTACAAAGATTGCTGCGCTTGTCGCAAGCTAAAGAAGCGCGCCTGAAGCAGCACTATGTTTTCAGGCGGCTGATACATGGTAACATTTTCTGTCTTTAAGATCGTCCATGACAGAAACTCTTTTCTGTCGGCTATAAGCGCGGAGTATTCCGATTTCTTACCCCGCAAATGGGACATTGCGTACGATATCATTCTAGCTTCGTCCTTAATAAGCCGCACCACAGCACATCGCCTTCGCGGCTAATGAACGGTGTACAATAGTGCAGGCGGCAGTGCCATCGAATCTGTGGGGTCCATCCTATGAAGCCCTGGATGAATAGACCGGGCCTAGAACGACTCAGCAGTTCTGTTTAGTGCATCGTACCGAGAATGCTTGCACAGAAGCTCACCATGAGTATAAATGATGGATTCTGCCACTTCAAGGCTTTGTGCATAGGACGCGGTCATCCGCTTTCCAAGCACGATCTTTTAAAACAGGTCTAGTTGGGGAACGAGCTTTTCTGGTGGGTAACTCAACAAATTAGCCAGATTCAGTCACCAAGTCCCTGAGCCATGTGTTCAGCCACCTCCCCCTGATGTTGGGACAGGTGTGTAATTCTAGCCTAATAAACATTGAGGCTCATCCTAACTGATACGCTCATATAGACGGATAGTGGGTAGGGCTACTAGCGCTGCTTAGTGTAGGTGGGCGCTTGAAGCTACCGCGAAATATGTAGTGGAGCAACACAGCTTCAGTCAGAGGAAGACTTACTACACCGGTGTCACTTAATTCTACAAAACTAAACCATTATTATTTTAAAAGTCTTTAGTTCTTGAAATTAATTATCAAAGACTCAGAAATTCTTAAAGCTCGTAGAGATAATTGTATTGGTTCTAAGGACTAACAAAGACTCTAGAAATTGCACGCACAATGCGCTCTCGAGTATGCGCCCAAGCTGGATCTTACTCGTAACGATATGCTGAAGTCTAAAGTAGACACGTGCCAATAATAGATCAAAAGGAGAACCGAACTATAATTTATTATTTTATCTGTAGTAAAATCGTTTAACTACCTTGTACTAAGATTGAACTTATTCGTATGGTAATCTTTAGTCTTTAAATGATTGATGGTAGTACACCAATCTGTCAACAGTTGATGACGGAGATTATCAACCACGTTAACCATCTCAAATAAAACTTGAGATTATGTATCGTATGTACAAGGCGTATCCCTCTAAAACGATAACGGACGTGAAAACCCGTTACACACACTACCTCAACACACACCTTCAGGCATCTGTGAAGAAGTGATGTTACCGATTTTTTCTCGTGTGCAATGAATGAAGCTTGGGTGGACGACTTACGAATGCCTCATCATTCGATGCAAGCTTGTGTCAAGTGTGGTACGGACGCGGTTTCTCGTCCACCGGCCCACTCGTTACAAAGATTGCAAACAAAAGACAAATTGATTTTTAATGAATCAAACGAAAATCTAAATTGTTTTTGGCTAAAAGACATAAAATTAGACGCGTGCTCTAATGAGATGCCGTCTTTACATAGCACTTGCAGTAAATATAAGCGCACCGATCAAGTACGTCAATGACGTCATTTAGTGACAGCATCCGTGTTTGACACACACTTCGTCGTAGGTATGCAACTGCTTTATCCCAATTACATGAAAGACTCTAGTGCGTACCGCAATTAAAAGCTTTCCCAGACTTTTCCGTGCCTTTACACGGAAAGTCTCGTGCAATAATTCGATTCCGTTACAGCGCTAGCCCTATTAGAAGTGGAGCAGTGTGAATTCTCCATTATTTAAACTGCCGCCCTTTCTTGTGTGGCAAGCTTTCTTGTTAGACAAAATAACAGCGTTTAATTTGACGATTTGGTATTGTATACAAAATATGAGGGTGTACAGTTTTTACTTAAGTTTATTCTGGGGACTCTACATCTTGCCAGGCTGACCGCTTACCAATTACGCCTGGTCTTTTTTGTAAATAGAGCTATCAGGATGGATCAGGTGTGCTGCAGCGCTGCAAGGCTGCAAATAAAATTAGTTTCTATGTAAGATAGAGGCATGCAAGAAGAGATTGTCGAATTCACACGTTTCCCACGGAAGTGTAAGCGCGTGCTTTATCATATTCACAAACATTTATTGTCAAAAGATTTCAACTACAAGCGTCACGACTGCTCTCAATTTCAAATGCACCTTAAAGGCACAGAATTTTTTCAACCTTGTTTACGTGGTGTCGGTGTCACCTCGACGCAGATCGAAAGAGTTGCCAATACTGTCAGCGATTTCAGATCAAAATCGTGCCAGCGCTGGCCTCCTCTATGATAATGACTTGCAACAGTCAAAAGTCTCCCACAAAAACTTTTCTGGGCTATCGTCTTTAGCGCTACAGTGTTTTTTTGTCACAGCGGCCATTGTTCCCGCCATCTGAAAAGCTTGCACAAACAGCTGTGAAGAAACACTGGGGTGTACAAAAATAATGTATAAACGTACTTGTATTTTTTTTTGACTTTTCCGTTGATTTTTTCAGTGGCTTGCAATTGTCCTGCACACTTAATCGACGGTAGCAGTTCTGGAGAGCGACAGTCAATCCAATGCTCGTTCACAATCAGCACTAACAGACGTGCTCAATTTGCGGCACAAGCGGCAGCGAAACTACTATCTACCTGAACCGTGTTGTTAAAAAAAGACAACCATTGAAGTTCAAGCGTGAGAAGTGGCCACAGGGCTACATAATAAAATGGGCGAATGATGTTTCTAAAACACACTAGCACCTTCTGACATTTTGGACCACAACTCACCTCAAGCGTGTCAGAATTTTCTCTAGGCTAGCCCCTTAACTGATACTATGGACTTCGGATCCACGGTACAGCACGGCAACCCATGATAAGATGGGCAATTAAGTATTTGTATGTACAAGCACCCTTTACAAAGTGCCCAAAAATTGTAATGCACTCAGTCCACCTTGTGGTTAATTTTTGCACCAAGAAACACCACGACACTATCATTTTCCATAAATGTCAGCAAACGCTGCAGACGGCTAGAGAAGCGTGAACGATAATGAGATAATTACTTTGCCTAGTGCATAACTGGTCAAATTGATTCACGTGCCGTACGTACTAGCGCATTCTTTGTCTTAATAAGTAGGTCACTTTTTATGGTCAGTTTGCATCTTCGATATAGATCGGTATCCCCCTGGGTCAGACCGAAATCTCTTTTTCTGCTAAAATGTATAGATGCTTTACGCTGAAAGCGGTGACAGGACTCTAAGATAAATCAAGGGTACCAAATAAATCTTTATCATGTCCATTGCACCGTCGCTAAAGGTACTTGTGTCAGGTCTGGCGGTCTTTGGCGGATTTATGGTTGTCGTTCTCAAACAAGTGTCATTCTCGTTCATCTTGTGCATATAAACTCCTCGAAATGTACTCCGATGCACAAGCATGTTTTCGTAGTCGAAGTCCTATCATGCAGTTGCTGCTTGGACACTTTGCGTGAGTTACGTTGCGCCGATCCATACCCATCCTTTAAGGATGAAAAAAGACGCGCAATCTTACCCACTGATGGCTCTTGCCAATTAGTCCAATAATTTGCACAAAACACAATTTACAGCCAGATATATCTGATGTCACACCAAGCTCATTGCGGTTGATCACGCTTTCCCACATACGAGTTAAATAATGATTAAGCCTCTCAAGTGACGTCGTTCTTGGAAACATTTTCCTTTCCACTTGTTTTGACAAATAGCAAACGCCACTTTTCTTATCCCTAGACCTCGTCCACCAAGCGAAAACGATTGATCTCCAAAAACGCCGTGGCACTTCATGCCTGGACATTATAAAGCCGCCCCGACTTTGGTCGAGGTAACTTGTCTTTACGATATGTGGCGCGTACTGTATGCGACACAGCAACAGCTCCAGATTGCGGCGGTTACCGACCGACATCCCTATTTGCGCCAGCCTTGCTTGAATTCGGCAAAGTTCTGTGCATTGCTTGCCATAGCTACGATGGTGTGCCCCGAGTTAATTATTCGTGTTGTGCATGAATTTTAGCTAGGGTGTTAGGCTATTGTATTAAGGGGTGACTGCAGAGCAAAGAAGGGGTGTGATATAAACTCAACTGCTTGGGTATAAAAAACAACACCCAAGCAGTTGCAGTTTATATTTTTTGAAAACACTGATAATATTTTGGACCTGCCTAGCCTGAAACAAGAATCGTGAAATTTAACCCCTATGATAGCGAGATGTATATGTACAGTGAACACTTTATACTTAAGAGCATTATGACAGTACGATAATTATACTTTCAGCTTCCCCTTTGATCCATGGCTGAGCTGCTAAGGGCTTGAATTTATCTCGATTGCATTTAGAACACATTGCGGTTATTTAACCTTGCATCGACCATCTTGTTGACTATAGTCTTGTTACAACCATTTGCTGCGTCTATTTGTATAGCTTTAGTCTAAGATTTGACTCAGTAGCACTCAGTCAATCTACTGACCTACACGCTCAATCTTAGCGGTAGACTCTCCCCTGACGTACTGGATGGCGGCCAATACGTAGTCAACCACGTGAAAACGGACAATCAGGTTGAGATGGTCCCACCAGTAGCTCACCGATGTCCATATTCCACCCTTTCCTGCTTCAGCAGTACCTGAGTAGAAAGTGGAATGTCCACTCACAGCAAAAGTGCCCATGACGTAAAAACGATCCCTGCACACAGCAACAACCTTGATATCAGTATAACAGCGACACTTGTAGAGCAGCACAATTCGTACCTGGTTGATCCTCCCAAGTCCTTATTTAGAGCCCGAATCATGTTGTCCGTTCGTAAGATGAACAACATATCTCTCGGAAGTTGTTCGAGAAAGTCAGTAACCTGATAGCAATAATGCGAGTAAGTCCACTGTAGCCTTTATAATGCAAAGCTCGCACGACAAAGTTAACACGTACGCTCGATACATGCATCGTTTTGAGATCCCCGGAAAGTCTTTTGCGCTCCGACTGGCTCATTGCCGCATCAGGACGTCCCTTGCTATTGATCATCCGGGACGTAAACAGCAGCGGCAAGTATTTCGTAACCTCTCCAATGTTTAACCGTCGGCCACAGTCATCCAAGAGAACACTGTCACGTAATAGCATTGCTCTCCACAAATCGCAATAAGCTTTACGGAAATCCCGATCGAATTCGCGGTATAATCCATGGTCCAGCAAGACGAGCTGCTCTTTGCGCTTGACTTGAGGATCGGGATTACGGCGTACGAAGATGTTCCCCGCATGCGAATCACAATGCACAAAGGCATGACAAAATACCATTTCGCTGAACACTTCACACAGTAAGTGTGCAACCTTAGGCGGGTCAGGGCCAAGTTCCTCCATAGCCTCGACTTGCGCTATCTTCGGTGCATCGATAAACTCCATCGACAATATCTTCTTCGTGCTCAGCTCGTCGTCCACGATGAACTACGAGTACCGTCCGGGTCAAAGGTGGTTCTACGTCCATAAAATACCATTAGCAACACCCTGCAGATACAACGTTCTGATGCTTCTTATAGATTTAGTCTTGTAGGACGAAAATCAGGCAATGAATGGTTAGTTCGTACTGCGCTGGGATAAAAGGTCGATCTGCAGCAAAAGCGGCAGCAGACCCCCGTCGTTAATCACACTGTGGACGCAAGATTATCGGTGTGGTGGCGTGCTTTGCCGCTGAAAGCTAATATCTGATGGAAATGGTTTACCAAACACGGACAGAATGGCCACAAGTTCTTGACTTATCTCGTTGAGATGCTCGACATATGATGAGTTTAATCATACACGATTGACACGGTGGGTTGCTTCTTCCACCGAGCCTTAACTTCAGTACGCTACTTCTCCATCTAGACCTACTTTTCACCATGACAGCCCAGCGAAGCTCGTACCAATGCGCTGATTGAACCATACCTAGGCCTGTAAGTTTTCAACGCTCATGATTCTACGAAAGTTGGACAAAATCTATTGGATAGCAGATCTTGAAGGTTTGTCAGCTCTATTTCGCAAGACTAACGGTGCCGACATTTCTCGTAGTTAGAAGGGTTGCCCGGACAATTCGTTCAGTTAAAGCAGTTTCATCTCCACGAACTACGTGGCGTCTCAAATAAAGTCAGCATAATACAGATTCATTACTTAGCACATTGCCGAATGTTTTGATTTGATTTAATCGTAATTGGTTCCTGACATGGAAATAGCCTTCGCTCGGACTTTGTCGCTGCACTACATACTCTCAACACATACGGTAACACTTGGCACAGCTCGAGCCCATCCGTCCTTGATCATTCTTGAGGAAAGGAGAGACTGTTGTGGTCCAAGGCGAACTTTACACGCAGTCGTTTCTGCCGACAAAGAATTTGCCGTCGATCGATCTTTCGCAGCCGGCCTCACCCGTAATGGAGCTCCTGATAGGACCAGTGCCAACGCCTTTGTCCGTGCCGTTTTTACTGTTGCACGCACACATAGAGAGAAATACACACACATTAGCATTACAAGGTCCTGATTGCTCAAGACTTGGATAGACTTACCTCCAAAAGAATGTCCAGCAGTCGTCGTCAACAACTAGATCGTTCTTGGACGGCCCGTTGCATGTATATGCATAGCACGTGCCGTAAGGGTAGCCGTAGTTGCCATCATACTTGTGATCCGTCACGAACACGGCATACGTCTGCGGAAGGTCGGTGCGCGTGTTGTGCGAGCACTCGGCAGCCTGGATTGCCTTGGACACTTCAATCACTTTACAGTTGTTGTTGCCTGGGCGCATGCCCTTCGTGTTGGTGAGGGCCGGCTTGAGCGTTGCTGACACGAAAGCGGGGGCAGCGAGAAGAGCGAGGGCGAGAGTACAGCGCATGACGATTTTGCGGAGAGGAAGGGAGAGGAAGTTGTTGCTTGGTGGGATATTGCGAACTGACATTGTCGGACTAGCGGCGGCTAGTGCAAGACGCACAAGTTGACGTGCGTCGTCATAACGACACGGTCATGTTGGCACGCATGTGATAGTGCCAGACAGCGTCGATTGTTTAGATTGACCGTTCGTGTTGACGGGGTCGAATTTTGCGATTGGACGAACATATCGCACGCCCTTGCAACGGAACGACAGCAGGCACGACTTAGAGTCGACAATTATGCAGCTGTTTACAGAGCTGTCATGGTCAATATTGGCGCGGCATGTCACCGCATGCTGAATCCAAGCCATCGCAAGATTGCGTCAGCCGCAAATGGTGATGTGCGTTGTGCATGTATCTTGTGACTAAAGCGCAATCCAGAGAGACAGAGCCACCACTTTCTACGAATACGAGCCACGGTACGCCTCAAGTCCACCACCACTTACATCCTGGCTCGAGACTTTTCAGAGGACTCACACATTGTAAACGCCCAGTACATAGACGATCTTCACCACTCTAAAGAATCATTTCCGCGTGGTCGTTCCACACGACGATGAGGAGCGCGTTTGAATTCCATTTTTCCGGATGGTTTGACTTTAAGGTTGCAGCGTCGTTGAGCATTCAGATGATGCTAGGGAATCTACGTATGGTCAAACCCCGGTACTGTCGTTGCTTCGAAGTAGCACATTCTCTCGTACGTGCCGCTCACGTGAGTCACTCGAACCGGCTCAGCACAAACGACCACTTGTTACCCCAGCCATTGTTCTACCGGACTAGTTAAATCCATTGAATTGTCTACACTTTCCACTCGGTACGTACTGACGAAAGCATTTGCCATCGCGCGATTGAAAGAGGCAGCCAACTGTATATTCACCTTTTGTGGTTGCAGAGGGTGTGATATGTCCTAACCGTCATTAGCTACTTCGGTTCCTCTTGTAATTCCTACTATTTGTACGAGGCTGTCACCGCGTTGAAAGCTCTCACATTTGACAGGCCATTGATTACCACCTCGCGTGGTCCTTTAGGATTCTTGTCGACCCGCCTGAAGATCCGTTTTTGAACGGCCCTGATTGTCTGCATACCTACACTCCAAAAAGTGTGTGACGCAATGCGATAGTGACGGCTTCTCAATTCCCTTGTGTCCAGTTGAACAGTTCAGTTCACAGCCGCTCCTTCAGCATGCTTTCTTGTCTTCAGGATGGTCTCGAAGGGGGTGTTCCTTGACTGCCTTACCCAGAACGGCACCTAATGTCGTAAGTACCGGACTGTGCGTGCAGCCTTGCTGACGGAAGCTCATTTGATACGAAACAGGATAACAATGGAAGTCAGACGTTATGTACGAGCTTCCTCGTACGTCCAGGAAGTGTGCTCTACGGTCTCCAATCTCCAATCCATCACTGTTCCTCTCGGCCACGAACGTCACATTTTCGCCTGATTATTAAACAGCAATTCAATTGCCGTCTTGGAACTGGATAAATAATCAGCATCTGGTACTTCGTAAGATTGTTGTCGTGTGCCCAAAAGTAGTATGCGTCAGTTGTACCGCTGCGCAGTGCCATACGCTGTTGGATGCTGTACGGCGGAGCTTCTCCACCGTAGGATAAGCACTCTGCCTAAATTTCACAAGTCACAAAATAGTCGTTTCTCAATAGCAAAAACGTGTGAAGTTGTAATAGAATCAAGCACGCTCCAAGGTATTCCGTGGACGAAAGAGTGCGCATGATTGCGAGCCCGAAGGATGAAGCTATAAGTGAGTGTGTGTAACGGGGTGAATCGTTACATAACAATTTATAAGAAATTGTTAATAGAATAAAACTATAAGAGTTATATTCTCAGAATATTGTCATAAGGACAATATTCTGCAGCACTTTCGAGTAGTTCCTAATTGGTTGATATAGGCCATTTTATCAACCAACGAAGACGCGCCACGACCGACGCACGCAATGAGTGGTGAGAAGATAGCTGATATGCACATTTGTATTTAGACATAGTTAGATGAAGATAAATAGTGGTTTATTAACAGACATTAACTATTATAAATACAGTTCTACTTTTTACTCTAACCGAGTACTCGCTTCTTCTTACCGTTTTCCTCTGCACGTACGAGTGTACGTGAAGTTACGAGGCACCGCCTTATTCTGTCATCAGAATAAGTAGCTTGTACTGTCACCAGTACAAGCTTGAGGGTGCCCGTTACACCTGGTAGCACTTCGTAGTCCGTCCAAGGACCACGTTCACATCTAACATGAATGTGTTGGATGATGAAGATGACCAAAGCTTTCACGCTACGCGTGACGGCTACTCCCATTTGAGCGATGTCGAATGGGATGCGGTTGAACGGATGGGTTCAACCATGGGCATCCATGCTGTTAGCGTCATGCTAGAGGCTCTCAATAGAGATGCCCAACATGCTACTATCGCCAAGTTCATTCAAAATGAACTTGACGCTGAACGCGAGAAAGTATCCTTGCTTCACCAACAAGGTTCTCAACAAGCAGAGTTGTTGGGAGAACAGGGTGCTTAACAGTTTGAACTGTTGATACAGCAGCAGGCTGCTGCTGGTGGGTCGATGCGAATGCATCGACCCGAGACCATGAAGATTGACATCTCCAAGTATAGGGGAGTCGAAGAGGACTCCCTCTTGAGATGGTTCGTCGAATTAGACGACGCCATAAGGGCGCGTCGCATCGACGACGGAGATATGCAAGTTGCATTTGCCCAGTCAAAACTGGCAGGACGAGCTAAGACTTGGCACTGGGGCTCAAGTTGCACGACCCAGATGCGTTTTGATCGTTGGAAGTCTTCAAGTCGCGACTCAGACAAACGTTTGAACCGCCTAGAGCTTAGTTCAGAGCTCGAAACGAACTCTTGAAGCTCAAGCAGGGTAAGCGTGATGTGCACGCTTACGCGCAACATATACGACATCTCACGAGTTGTATAGGTTCCAATCCGGTGGATGAACACACGTTGGTTTCGGTGTTCACACAGGGTCTTGCGGATGGTCCCGTCAAGACTCACCTGTTCCGACTTGAACTAGATTCACTAGAACAAGCCATTTTCATTGCGGAACAGGAAGACTTCAGTCTGAGACAGGCTCGCGCCAGCTCGACATCGTATCGTCAACCGAGACGATATGACAACGGAGGTCCAGAGCCGATGGAACTCTGTTATGTAGAGAGCGAGAAGGCTAGCTCTACAGACTACAAGAAGTTGCAGATATGCAACAGATGTCAGAAGACAGGACACTACGCTTACGAGTATAGTGCCCCTCGTCCAGTGTCTCGCAACACTGGGCGTAGTGGCCGTCCACCCATGAGAAAGGGGCAGGGACGAGGGTCCGCAGTTGGTGCAAAGACGCAACAACGAGATGGACCGTCAAAAAACGGACAGGATCAGTAGGTGCGGAGCACCCTACTGATCCAGCAACGTCAAGAGAATTTGTAGGCCTCTTGATGAAGGTTGCTCCCAACACACAGACATTGTGCGTTGCTGCTCTAGGTAATGAGATCT